GCGTAAATATGTTTTCAGCACCAAGGTACTTGGGCTTTGCTTCTAACAGATACAAATAATAAAGAAGAACTGGGGCTAGGTAAGTGGAGATCACTGACCTTGGCTACTTTTTGCTGTGGCTTGAATCCAAAAGTTTCTTGGTAGGTATGCTGGAGATGTCTGTAACTGAAATCGCAAATGAAAAAGGGGGGAGACCTAGTCTTCACCAATAGTAAAGATATAGTAGTTTGGTTTACCTTTTGTGAACCTGCCCTTACAGAAAAGGTTTTAACTCTTTAACCCTTATACCCTAGCAGGCTGAATCACTATAAGACCAGCAGAGCAATGGGCCCCAGGAGGCACCAGCTCAACAGAAAAGCCATCTAGGGAAGCGAGGCCTAGTGAATAAGGTGTGGTGATGTCACCAGGAGGCATCAGACCTCCTCTAACAGTGGAGAGACAAGTTGAACACTTCCCCTGATGTGTGAGCTCCAATCATACTCGCTTTCTTCACATATACATATATGTGTATGTATATATGTATGTATGTATAGCTGTGGGAGAATGTTCTATTGCAATCTTGATATAGTATTCTGACTAAATAGATTATAAACTATAAACACATTGGGGCTTGAGTGTATATGGACCCCCATAAAGTACTTTGAACCTGGTATAAGTAGCTATTCTGAGGAACCTACATGTGAGAGGAGGATGCCACAGATGCCACATATACTTATTTCATTACTCAAAGCCAGAATGTAAAGTTCATAAAAATGGATTCTGATACTGTTTCAAATATTTAACTATATGGATTAAAATTTCATGGCCTTCTATGGGTTTCATAAGATTTTAGCAACTTGTCATTGAATCCTTATGTACAGTTCAAATGCCTCACCTGAAGGTACAAGGCATAAGATACACATTCAGGAGTGAAAAGGTTTGGTTGGAGTGTTGTGGGAGAGTAGTAGGAGCTATGGTGGGAGCCATAAAGGGCTAATGAAGACTGTAGTGGGTTGATTTCATGTTTTTCAAATTTGCCTTTAGGGCCAAGATATCTGATAGCAATAGGAAAGGCTCAAGGTGATGTCCTTTACCTTGCCCTTCATGAATTATAGTGGTGACTAAAAAAATTCACCTACATACATGTCTGTTTTGTGGTAAAAAGAATATTTGGAATAAAATCAATCCAGGAACAAACATACAGCTGAATTATTTAAATCTCCGTGACTAACAATGTAGAATCTAACAATAAATAATTCATGATTGGTTATTGATTTGATTTGCATGGGCTTGTTTTCCTCTACTTGCTAGGTGGAATACTCCTTGCTCCCCATTGCCCCTTCCAGAGTCTCCTACTTTCTCCAACACTCAGTAACCATTCTTCCTTTCAGGTTCATGCTAGTCATATCTACCACCCAATCAAAATCCTGGTAGCTGTTGCCTACAGAAACACAACCTCCCTGCCCCCCCCAGGACACTCCCCTTCCTTCTTCAGTGAGTTCAGTACCTGGCTTACAGTTTCTCTCTCCTCCCCTCATAGTAGGGGACTTCAACATACATACTGACTTTCCCTCAAACACCATAGCCATTCAGTTACTCAACCTCCTGTGAACAACTCCACCCTACCTTACCCATACACAAAGATGATCATACCCTTAATCTTGCCATCACTCATAAAATGTACCTCTATATTCAAGAATTATGAAATTGACATAGCCAACCATAGTCTATTGGCTTTTCACCTTTCCCTTCCCTTGCAAAACCCTACTGTTCATTCACACTGGGACCTCCAATCCCATGACATCTCAGGGCATCTCCCCTGCACTAGCCACTCTCTTCCTCTCCCAATCTCCCTATTGACTCCTTGGTGAGCTAATTCAACTCTATACTGTCCTCTTCTCTTGAATCCCTAGTCCCCTTATATTGCTAATTATGCCCAGCCACCTTGGCCTTGAATCACTCCCACCATTTATCACTTTTGCTGCTACATACGTGCTATTGAACAAAAATGGAGAAAATCACGAAATAATTGGGTCAGCTACAAAGTTATGTTACATGACCTCAGCTGGGCCCTCACTGCTGCTAGGCAATCCTACTATATCTCCCTTATCAACTTACTTTCCCACTCTCCACTCTTTCCAAACCTTTTCATCCCTCCTTAAACTTCTCCTGACTCCCCCAACACCCACTCTCTCAACTAAGATCCCTGTCCCATATTATACAGAAAAAGGTCATTTACTGTGAAATCCCTTTTCATCTATCACTTGAGTGCCATCTGGTATTTTCTCCTCCCTTACTGCTGTATCACATGATGAAGTAGACTTTCTCCTTACCCTTGGACTATTTGTTCAAACAATCCCATTTCATCCTGTCTCCTCCAACAGATTGCCCCCTCTGCCATCTTCTTTCACTTATTTTCAATCTCTCCCTTTATATTGGCTTCATATTTATTTTTATATATTTATATTTATTTCATTGTATTTATTATATTTATTTTTATATTTCTACTGCCCCTGTATCCCCTACCCTGAAAAAAACTTCATTTGATTCTTCCATACTTGCTAATAACTATTGTCTTTGTCTCTTCTGCCCTTGTCAGCTAAACTCCTTGAAAAAGCCATGTACAATAAGTGCCTCCACTTTTTCTCCTCTCACTCTTTTTAACACCTTACAATCTGGCTTCCAACCTTATCATTCCACTGAGCCTGCCCTCTCCAAAATTACTAATGATCTCTTAGTTGCTAAATCCAGCAGCCTTTCCTCAATCCTCATTCTCCTTGAACTCTGCAACCTATGACATTATTGGTCACATTGTCTTCAATACTCTCTCCTCTAGCTTTTCAGGACATTGCACTCTCCTGGTTCTCCTCCTACCTAGCTGACTACTGCTTCTCTGTTTCCTTTGCTGGATCCCCATCCTGATCATGTCCTCTAACTGTAGGTGTCCCACAGGATAGTATTCTGGGCCCTCTTCTCCCTTTATACTATCTCACCAACTCCCATGGATTTAATTACCATCTCTATGCAGATGTTTTCCAAATCTACATTTCCTGTCCCAATCTCTTAGCTGACCTCTAATTTCTGAATGGCTTTCAGACATCTCAGATTGGATGTCCAGTTCAGATCTTAAACTCAAGTATGTCCAAAATGGAATTCATTGTTTTTCCCTAAACCTTCCCTCACTCCTACCTTCCCTGTTACTGTAGAGGGCGACACTATCCTCCCAGTCCCTTAGGCCTGCAACCAAGAAGTCCTGGATTCCTCACCATTGCTCACCCTACATATCCAAACTGCTGCCAAGGCTGGTTGATTTCAACTTTGCAGCTCATCTTAGCCCCCTTCTCTTCACCGACACTGCCACCACTCTGGTGAGGCCTTTGTTACCTCACACCTGGACTATTTCAGTAGCCTGCTGGAAGGTCTCCCAGCCTCCAGTCTCCCCTCTAGTCTATCTTCCATTCAGCCACTAAAGTGATTTTCCTAAAGTGCAGTTCCAATCACGTCACCAACTCAATCTATTCCAGTGGCTTCCTGTTGCCTCCAGAATGAAAAACAGTCCTCTGCCTGGCATTCAAAACCCTTCATAACCTAACCCCCTCCTACCTTTCCAACCTTAGACGTTACTCCCAGGCATGTATATTTCAATCTAGTGACACTAGCCGCCTGACTGCGTCAACATGATGTACCATCTCTCAGCTCTAGGCATTTCCCTGGCTGTCCCTCATGCCTGGAATACTCTCCCTCCTCTGCTCCAACTACTGACTTACCTGGTTTCTTTTAAGTTCCAACTAAAATCTCAGTTTCTTTGGGAAACCTCCACCAGTCCCACTTAATGCCATTGCCTTCCCTCTATTTCATATTCCTGTATGTAGCTTGCTTTGTATGTTTGTTTGCATATTGTAAACTAGATTGTAAACTCCTTGACTATCTTTTGCTTCTTTTTGTATCCCCAGTGCGTGCTTAGCACAGTGTCTGATACATAGTAGGCACTTAGTAAATGTTTGACTGACTGATGTACCAGCTGCGGAAAGGAGGCTATATTTAGGGTACTGCAGTCTGCGAGCAAAGGTCCTTCTTGCTCAGTAATGTTGGAGAAGATCTCTATCTGTAGGAACTTCTGGGTTTAAATGAATGAAAAAAATGATTATGGGAAAGGAACACTTAATTATCTGAGTTCGCTATTTAATTTTACTGAAATAAGATCATTTTTTAAGCTATTTATACACACTTCCACAAACACACACCCCTACAGGTAATGATAAAAAATACAAAGTCAGGGGCAGCTAGGTGGCACAGTGGATAGAGCACTGGACCTGGATTCAGGAGGACCAGAGTTCAAATCTGGCCTCAGACACATAACACTTATTAGCAGTGTGACCCTGGGCAAGTCACTTAACCCCACTGCCTAGCCAAAAAAAAAAAAAGTACAAAGTCTTCAAGTCCTTATGTTTGGACCCAGATTGGGTGTAGTCAGTCAACATTTCATTAATTGCCTATTTTGTACCAGACAGGTCCTGTTCTCAAGGAGCTCCCACATTGTAATGGGGGAAAGGACATGCAAACAACTGTATAAACAAAATCTAGGCAGGATAAATTGGAGATAATCAGTAGAGGAAAGGCACCAGTACTAAGGGAAGTCAAAAAAGGCTTCTTGTAGAAGGTGAAATTTTAGCCAGAACTAGAAGGAAGCAGTGGTGAGAGGACACTAGGCATTCCTGGTTCCACACACTTGTTAGCAACAAACCACTCATGCAGTTTGTTGCTGTGAAGGATGAGAAGGAGCCTTCATAACATGAGACCAAGAAAAAGAAATAGGCTTCTGAAGGTGGGTCCAAGATGTATCGAAGGAATTATTTTTTTTGATAACCAGATTTCCACTCTGAATTAAGTGTCGATGATACTCTCTCTCAGTGGCATGAATATAGCAAGAGTAGAAGTGCTTTATGGTGTCCAAACTAGTCCGAAATAAAGGTATTCTTAAAACTGAAGTTTTTTTTAATTGTAATATTAATGTAGGGGGATTAAAAAATGGATAAGAGTAAAACACTACCAGAAATCAAATTAGTAACCTCCAAAATGGCTTCTATTTATACAAAATGTAAACATTTGCCCTGGGATTTTTCTCAAGTGGCTGCAAGCCACTAAGGCCTTATTGGGAACAGACATGTATCTGTTTCCCCAGAGCCACCAAGAAGCCTGGAAAATTGTAACACTGAAAGACCCTAGCACATATCAGACCAAATTTTTATACACACATGCATGTACCCACACATGCAGACACATACACTCAGTCAAGGGAAAGTCAACATCAAATATAAGAGGCATGGAAACATGTCAGTTTTTAAACAAGCAGCTTCCACCCACTTCCCTGATTGTATTTACATTTACCTTGACAGAGATTACAAAAATATACACAATATATAAATCCCCTACTTGAGCCTGGGGAGGGGGACAAAAAAAATACATCTGGCTAGAAAAAATGCTGCAGTGAGAGGCACCAATTCAAGTCACCAGGAAGCTTGGAGATGGGCCTAGGATGAAGCCCTCTTTTGTTCAGAAAAGGGAGACTCGTAAACTTCCATTGGTGGGCAGGTGCAAACCAGATGCTGGTCACCATAGATGTCATCGATGCGGGCAATTGTGGGCCAGAACTTGCTCTCTGGTTTCACGAAAGGCTGCAATGGACAGGCAATCAGAAAGCATTTGTTATACACTTATTGTGAGCCAGGCACTGTGCTGAGCAATGGGGGTACACGGGCAATAAAGGGAGGCAAACAATGGAGGGGGAAAGTGGTGAAAACTTGTCAGTAATTAGGTACATAAAAGATACAGACAGAGTATATGAAAAGTAGCTCTAGAGGGAAAAATTCTAGTAGTTGGGGACACCAAGTAAAGTGATCTGCAGACTGGCATTTGAGCTAAGTTCTGAAAGAAACCAGAGATTCCTCAAAGGGGTGAGTAGTCAGAGCATTTAGAGCCAGTGCAAAGGCAAGGAGAGGTGTGTGAGAAACTACAAGTAGCCTAGAATGATTGGCTTTTCAAGTACATGGAGGAGAGAAGATTGGAAAAAGTACTAATGATAATAGCTAACACTTTTACAGTAAGTTAAGGATTGCAAAATGCTTTACAAATATCCTCATTCTGTCCTCACAGACAACCCTGAGAGGTAGGGGTTATCCCCATTTTACATGTGAGGAAACTGAGGCAGACAGGTTAAATAAAAGACAGTCTGGAGCTAACATCCATAGGGAAGCACACTGAAAAACTGCAGTCAGCACAGTTGAATCTTAGGAGTGGTCTTCGTCAGTGGTGATGAGCCTACACATTCTATTTCTATCAGATCGATGGGAAGAAAGTGCAGTCAGTGTGGGGCACTTTTCATTCTGGACATTCATCCATTTAAAATTAATCTTATTCATAGGATCGTAGGGTTGGAAGGGATCTCAAATGTCATCCGGACCAATGTCCCTCATTTTACAGGTCCAAAGACGTTAACATTGTCAATGTCAGAAGCAGATTTTGAACCCATGGCCTTTGACTCTGGAGCCAGTGCCCTTTCCACTGTACCTCACCTTCATTGAAAGGATGATAGAAAGATACCCTTTAGGAAGACTTAGGAAATTTTTAAAAAGATAGAAAAGGAAACAATAGGGGCAGCTAGGTTGCTCAGTGGATAGAGCCCTGGCCTTGGAGTCAGGAGGACCTGAGTTCAAATCCAGCCCGAGACACTTAATACGTAGTAGCTGTGTGACCCTGGGCAAGTCACTTAACTCTGATTGCCTCACCAAAAAAAGAAAAAAAGAAAAAGAAAAAACAGAAAGTTTCTGTTTATCACCAAACAGAAAAGGTAGCCAAAAAAATTTCCTTATCCTTGATGCCTGTTACCATGATTTAATGCTGCTTGAGCAACCTAAATATACTAGGAAGGGCAGACCCCACAGAACCAAATTTTATTATAATGAGATCATAAATTTAAAGCTGCTAAGGACCTTAGTGATCTAATCCAACTCCCTTATTTTTTTGCTGAGGAATTAAGGCCCAGGAAAGTTAGATGATTTGCCCAAAATCACACAGGTAATAGTAGAACTAAGATTTAAACCCAAATCCAGCACACTTTCATCCCAAACTAGGACAAAATATTTGCACATCTTAGGAAAGGTTTGGAAATTGAGTTCCCGTGTGTTAATGCCCAGCAAGGGCTTTGATCCTTGACCATAAAATCAATACCTATATGCCATGGAGAACAGATATTTCCAAGGGTTTCAAAGTTCACTTTTTAGAGGACCTCTTGGTATGTTTCTCTGCATGTGGGGCCCAGAGGTAGCTGCCTACCTAGCCTATTCCTAGTCCCTACTTGGAGGGACCTGTGATTTCACTGATATAAAGAGCTCTTGAATGGGAGGAAGGGGTTCCCTCCCTTCTGCTACTGTCGACTGGCATCTCTTCAACTTAGTCCTAGAGTTGCTGGGAGCACTGAGAGGTGAAGATTTCCCCTCGCTTACCCAAGTTAGAGGCAAGACTTGAATCCAGATCTTCCTGGTTCTGTTAGACCTCCTAGCTGCCCCTCATGAAGGGAACAGTCTGCCCAAGGGGCCAACAGTGAATTTTATTAAAAATAAACAAAAGCAAAAGACCAGCCATAATTGATCATGTCCTCTATTTAGCTAGAATGAAACTAAACATACTCCTTATCCGTTTCCAAGGAAAACTGACTAAAAGTGATTGAAAATCCTGAAAAACCACAAGAGTACCCTGACAAAAATAAATTTGAAATAACTGAAAAGAATTGCTCTGCCTTGAGCCATCCTCCCTATTAGTAATAAACTACAAAATCTCTGGAGGTGTCACTTCGTGGGGTCCTCCTAATCTTATGTCAAATGAGTCACACTGACGACTCAGACTGAAAAGGTCCCTCCTTGTGCCTCTCCTCACCCCTCACCACCAAAGGGGGAAAAAACACTGGTCACCTTGGTACAAGATTTCTAGGGAAAAGTTTGTAAAGTCTGACACCTCACCTAATTGCTAGTCTAGACAAAACCCTAACCCACAAACCTCTGAAGAATTTACTGCGTAATCATCCATAGAAAGTATAATTATTTTTATTTCTGTGAAATAAAAAAGTTAGGGATCCTAGCTTTGAACAAAGCCCATTGGGCCCTTGTTAGGATCACTCTCTTCCACGCTTCTCTTGATCCTCATTCCATCCCAATACTGTCCATCATTGTGCAACCCCAGTGATCAATGACTGCTCCAAAAGCACTGCATCATTGATGTGGTCCCTCCCATCGCCATGCTTGCCACAGCTCTGTATCTCTGCTCAACTCACCTTTGTTCTGTGTTTCACCTTGTTATGATCAGTGGAAATCTTTGACCTGTTCTATGCATCTGTATTGTTTGTAGCACACAGTGTGTGCTCTACAGACAACCTGGATATGGAGTCATTGGACCTGGCTTGGAGTCCCAGCTGTATGACTTGGTAGCTGCAAGACCAAGCTGCAAGTCACCTTGCCTCCAGAGGCCTCACTTAATTTTTTAATCTTTGAAAGGAGAGGCACAAACTAAATGAATTTTAAGTTCCTTTACAGGCTCACTAGTAGACTGAAAGTTCCTTGGGGGTTTATTTTTAATCATTGTTTTATTACTCCCTAGCACAATGCCTTCCATGTAGTTTAATTTGTTGAATTGAATTAAATTCTGTGAAAATCTGGCTTATGGGGAGTAAAGGGAAAGGAAGGAAATAAGCATTTATATAGTACCTTTTGTTATTGTTATTCATTCATTTCAGTCATGTCTGACTCTTCATGACCCAACTTGGGGTTTTCTTGGCACAGATACTGAACTGCTTTGCCATTTCTGTCTCCAGCTCATTTTGCAGATAAGGAAACTGAGGCACAAAGGATTAAGTGACGTGGCCAGGGTCACACAGCTAGTAAATGTCTGACACCAGATGTGAATGCAAGGAGACTCATCTTCCTGACTCCAGGCCCGGCACTCTATCCACGGCACCAGCTAGCTGCCCTTTATATAGTACCTACTAAACGCCAGACATTGTGGGAAGCTTTTTTTTTTTTTTAAAAAACAAGTATGATCTCATTTGATCTTCACAACAACACTGTGAGGTAAATGCTGTTATTGTTCCCATTTTATAGTTGAGGAAACTGAGACAAATAGAGGTCAAGTGACTTGCCCTGGATCACAGAGCTAGCAAGTGTTTTTGGGCCAACATTCATCAACTTCACTCATGATCATCCGTGCTTCCCCTTAGATCTAAGTATGGGATTTTTCTTCTAATTAAAAAATTAGAAAAGTAGGCAAGTGTGATACAATATAAAGAGAGCTCAATTTGAAATGTGAGGACCTGGGTGGACCCGAATCTTGGCTTTGCCATTTACTATCTGTGCGATTGATTTTGGGCACCTTCTTTTGTCATTCTTGGCATCAGTTTCCTCATCTATAAAATGAGGAGGTTGTACTAGAGAACCTCTAAGCTTCCTTCCACCTCCAGGTTATTGGCCCTATGATCTCTAAGATTCTTTCAATAACTCTGTGATCTCATTTCAGTACTGGCCACTATCCACATCCTCAACATTACAGAATTACTTACTAGACATATTTTTGTATATACAGGCCCTTTTCTTCTTTTATCTCTTTGGAATATAGATCTAGTAGTGGTATTGCTGAGTCAAAGGGTATGCACAGTTTAATAACTTTGATAGTATAGTTCTTAGATTGCTTTCCAGAGTGGTTAAACCAATTCTCAGCTCCACCATTAATGTATTAGTGTGCTTGGTTTCCCATTGCCTCACCAATATTTGTTATTTTCTTTTTTTGTCTACTTTGCCAATGTGATAGGTATGAGGCAGAACCTCAGAATTGTTTTAATTTGTATTTCTGCAATTAGTGATTTGGAACATTTTCTCATATAGCTATTGATAGTGTGAATTTCTTTTCATTTCATCAAGTGGAGCTCAGTTATTTTAATTTGCATCTCATTATTGGCAAGGCTGAGTATTTTTTCAAGTGATTATTAAAATTTGACAGGCAAGTGATGGGACTCAAGATACAGAATGAGACACATATCTTTGGACATGACCAATATAGGAATTTGTTTTGCTTGGCCAAAACAACACTTTTGTTTTTGTTTTGGGGGGGGTAGGAATGGTATAGGAGGAGGGAGTGTGAGAAAAAGATTTTTGCTCATTGAAAAAAGATTAAAATTTTTTTTACAAAAATTACTCACTAGTGGGAAAGCTGCTACTTCTCTGGAGTAAGGCCGATCCCAGTTTGAAGAGGTAATACAAGTCAAGGAGTGTGGAGACATCTAATACCAGGACACAAGGAAGGAAGGAAGTAGTCACAGCAGTTATTTCCAAAGAATACTGATTCTCCTTATTCCCCATTTCTTTTCACACTGTAAAGTATCCCAAACCAGTATTGCTACAAAATCCTTTGATTCCCATATTTTTTAAAAATCACCTTAAATCTCAAGAGAACAAATATTCAGAAAAATAAGGGAAATAAGTCCCCCCATCGGAATACAAAACCCTGCCTTGGAAAAAAATTGCATTATTTTTTGGTCATGCACAAGTTTCCAAGGGCAATCATGGTATAGGTAGCAGAACAGTGGATCTGAAGTCAAAAAACCTAGGAGTTAAAATCCTGGTTTTGCTCTTGGTACCTGTATGACTTTCCCTCATCTGGCCTCAGTTTCCTCATTTGAAAAAGGAGAGAGTTGGACTAGAAGACTTCAAAAGTCCCTTCCAACTTTATATAAGATTCTCTGATCTCCTCTATACTACCTGGGTGACCTTGGACAAGTTGCATCACCTTTCCAATTGTCAGTTTCTTCATTTATCAAATAAAATACTAACTTACCTTCAGTGGGTTAACCCTTGAGTCCATGCGACCTTCCTCTATGTCAGCAATTTCTTGTCGGATACTGATCATGGCATCACAAAACCTGTCAAGCTCAGCCTTATCTTCAGATTCTGTGGGCTCAATCATAAGTGTCCCAGCCACTGGCCATGACATGGTGGGAGCATGGAATCCTAGAAATAGAAGCAAGGAAGCCAACATCTCTAAGTGTTTCAGTTCAATAAGAGAGTTGGACTCTCACCTATACAATACTTTCCACTTCAGACATTCTAGGATATACAACTCAATTTCTCTTCTAAGGCAATAGCCAAATGTATGGAACCACTCCTGAAAAACTGGTTAGAGTTCCCAGAAGTATTTGCAAATAGAATATGTCTATATAGTGCACTGAGTGGAAAATATTAGTTAAGAAATGATGAAGGGCAAAGGGAAGAACTTAAAATTGTAACAAAAAATTTTTCAAGAGCAAGAATACATTTTTACGGAACTCTGCACAAATGAGGGAAACCAGAGAGTATCTCAGCATGCACAAAGATTAATGTTTGGGTGCCTAAGGGTTAATATGGGAATCCATTCCTATGCAAAGAGTTTGACACACCTGTCATTCATTGACCTCAGGTAGTAAGCATGGGGTGAGAGGGATTTGGGGCTTGCCTTTATTAGTATCGCAGAATTTTAAGATTGGCATACACAGCACAAATGGCAATGTTTAAATTTTCATTTTCCAAATCATACTGAAATGGTTAACAACCATCTACAAGGCTCCCTATCAAACAAAACAAAGTTCCCCCTCATTTACCCTTTCTAATAAGTGAAATATCCTCGAGGGGAAAAGAAGCAGATCATCATCAAAGAACACAAATTTTCAAGTTCAAAATAAAAAATTTGAATTTTTAAAGAAATGTCAAAATGAAAAGAAAATCATAACATCAGTCATGAGAATCTGAGCAAATGATTTTATTTCTTTGGGCCTGTTTGCTCATCTGTAAAATCCTAAGGATTAAGGATCTTTAAAGTCCCTTCCAGCTCTAATGGGCTATGAGTCAAAGCTTCTGTGGTGAACTAAAAATCCACTTACCTGTGAAAAAAGACACCAACTACACAGCCCCCCCCCAAAAAAAAACACCATCAAAATTTTAGAATCCACGAAAGAAAATGACACTATCTTCACCCTTAGGAGAAGTCCATTAGCAGTCCACTGTTAATCAACAGACTTATATAAGCATCTTCCACAACAGACACTAAACTGACACCACATTCCTCATTCCTATATGTTCTCTATCTTTCCTTCACTAATATACAAACATCTCCGCTTTTTCTACTCCTTGTACACAAAAGGTGGTTCACTTGTAGAAGCAGTAACACACACAAAGGAATCCCCATCATTTACTTCAATGTGTCAGTGTCTGACTCGGAAAAAGATTTTTTTCCTATTGATTAAAGATATCCTTTTCATTCCCCCCTCTTTTAAAGGATGCTAATAATAACAGCTACCCACAATTTCTCCACTAGACCCTCTGCAAATGCCTTAATGTGACATGGTGTAAAAATGACCCTGGGCTCTCACGGACTATGCCAGTGGAGCAAACATAAACCCTGGCATATCCACCCAATGGGGTAAAGACACCTGGTGACACACTGAACTCCTGTCACCTAAGAACTAGCCTAGGTAGGTGGGACACTAATGCTGCCTTTCTTTTTTCTTTTTCTTTTTGTTTTTTTGGCCATAGCAAAACATGGTGTCCTAAGAAATGCAGGGGCTATGATCTGTTGAGGGGTAAGGAGGCTGGGAAGGCCACTCAGGAGAAAATGGATCACATGAAGTACCAAATCAGGCCCCATTTATAGATCTCACAACAACCCTGAAGCAGAAAGATGACATTACTTTTCTTTTTTTTATGACTTTGTTATGTTCTGATTTGTGCATCATCACAATTATCTCTTGCATCTTTCCCCATCCTCTTCCCAGACAGCCATCCCATATCACAAAGTGTATTCTTTAAAAACAAATTTTAAAAAGAAAATAATCAGCACAACTGATTAATATATTTTAAAAGTCTGAAAACTGTGGCAATGTGCATGAACCTCCCACCTCCACGTAGGGGTGGGTAAGGAGTGTCTTTTCATCTCTTCTTTCCAGTCAGGTTTGATTTTTATAATTTTGTTCGTCACTTTTGATTTTTTGTGTGTGGCTCTTTCCATTTACATTGTTGTAGTTATCGTATACATTGTTGTCTTGGCTTTATTTACTTCACTCTGCATCAGTTCATGTAGACCTTTCTGCGTTTATCTGTATTTACCACATACATCATTTCTTATAGCACAGTAATATCCCATTATATTCATATACCATAATTTGTTTTACCCATAATCCAATCAATGGGCATCTACTTTATTTCCAAGTCTTTACTATCCCAAAAAAATGCTGCTATAAATATTTTGGTTTATATAAGGACTTTCTTCTTAGCAATGACTTCCTTGGAGTATAAGCCCAGTAATGGAGTCTATGGTTCAAAAGATAAGGACATTTTAACCATTTTATTTGCATATTTCCAAATTGCTTTCTAAATGGTTGTACCATTTCACAGCTCCACCAACAATGTATTTATGTGCCTATCATTGCACAACTCCTTCAACATAGACTATTATAATTTGTCATCTGACAATTTGTAGGGTGCAAAGAGAAATCTCAAGGTTATTTTGATTAGCATTTCTTTTATAATTAGTGATTTGGAGTATTCATTCATGTGCTTATGAATATTCTGCAATTCTTCTTTTGAAAAAATGTTCATATCCTTTGACCATTTGTCTATTGGGGAATGACTATTAGCCTTATATATGTTTATTAATTGTTCATGCACCTGCTACCTATTATGGGACCCTGCTACCAACTTGGCCTGGCCTTTTTGGTTTAAACTAGAGATGATACTGTTAGGAAAACAACATGAGATAGTAGCAAAACTATGGGATTTGGAGTCAAGGAAACAAGTTCAAATCCTCTCAGAGCCTAATTTTCTCCATCTGTAAAACGAGAATAATAATAGCATGTACTTCCCCCGGTTCTTGTGACAACCAAATGAACAAACCTTAGGTGCAAATTAAACATCATACCTAACTTTATACGTACTCAGAGTAATAAAAAAACAAGATTTGAAGAGGAGCAGTAGCCATGTTGGAAAATTACTCACCATAATCTTGAAGCCTCTTGGCAACATCCACAGCTTCAATATTTGCAGATTTTTTGAAGGGTCTGGTGTCCAAAATAAATTCATGAGCCACATAACCTGTTGAGGAACAGGGGTCATTCCAAAATTATTTTATGAAAATAAACAATCAGTGACCTTAACTTGGGACAGCAAATCTTTTGAGCTTTGGGCTAGTCGGTCAAGAAGCATTTGTTCAGCACCTACTATGTGCCAAGCACCGTGCTAAACAATGGGGATACAAAAAAGGCAAAAGACAATCGTTGCTGTCAAAGAGTTCACAGTTTAGTGGAAGAGACAATGTGAAAACAACTATGAACAACCAAAATGTCCATCAGGATAAATTAGGAGGTAATCAATAAAAAGAAAGCATTAGAATAAAGGGGTATCAAGATGGAATGAGGGAGAAACCATGTTTCCTTGCTGAAATCTTCATGAGCAATATGGGGCACAGTTGAAAGCAGCAACAGCTTTATCTGAGCTGATGAAAGCAGAAAACCCAATACCCACCATAAAGAGTTTCTGCTAATAAGATTCTCTTTGCTCCTCGAACTTGTAGACAAAACCTGTTGCCTACAGATGACCATTCTGTCACATATGTGCCCACATATCCAATCATTTACTTAATAAGATTCCTCAAAGGCACTTTTGAGTTCAGGGCTTCAGTCTTGCCAACTATGAAATGAGTTGACTATCCAAAGCCATGGAAATTCAGTAGTCATAGGAGCATAGAATTTAGAGCTAGAAGGGGACTTGGGTATCACCTAGTCCAACACCTTTATTTATAAAAAGCATGAAATTAAGATGAGAAAAAGGAAGTGAATTACCCAAAGTCACACAGGATTGATACACAAATCCTCTGACTTGAAAGTCAATGATGGCTCAATTATTGCAGTAGCTTCCTAACAGATTATCCTGCCATTGATCTGCTTTATACTACTTCTAATCATTCTTCCTTAATCGTTGACCTGGTCACGTCTCAACCACTACAGGACTCAATTTCCTCAAAAGTGACTTCCCATGGTCACATAGATTATAAAGAGAGGAGCTAGGATGTGAACTGATGTCTTCTAACTCCAAATCTAGTTGCTCTTTCTTCTGTAACACACTAGCTCCCAGAGGATACATCCTAACTATATGCTATGGGTTGGGAAAAGAAAGGGAACAAGCATTTTTAAAGTACCTACTATGTTCTAGGCACTGTGCTATGCTCTTTACAAATACTACCTTATTTGATCATCACAATAATTCTGAGAGGTAGTTGCTATTATTATCATTGCTATTTTACAATTAGGGAAACTGAAACAGAGATTAAGGGACTTGCCCGTGGTCACATAGCTAGTAAGTCAAGTCTTAGTGATTCTATGCCCAGTGCTCTATCTACTATGTCACCTAGCTGCCTCTCTTGGGAAACAATGAAGTAGAAAGTGGTGTAGATGAAGCAAAACCCACGATTCAGTACTGATGGGGGTTAATTAGCTTTGCTCAAGTTCATGGCCACTGATTGCAACGTTAACACACGGCTGGGAGCTCCTGGTTTCAGTACAGACTGAGCAAACACAAACCCATCACCATTCATGGAAAAACAAATACAGGTTCAGAGTCAAGGGGCAGTAGGCTGGTATTATTGCATTTATATGTAAGATATTTAGGTACAAGTACAGCAATTTTAAAAATAAAAAATAAGTTTTTAAAGGCTCCCAAAAAGCAGCTTGGCAAAACTGATCGAAAGTCCTGGGCAAATGCTATCCTTGAGACTAGACTGCAATCCTTGTTAGCTGGCATTGCTGACCTTGGGCTTTACTCACTGATAAAGCAGGACAGAGAGGTCTTCTCAATTCTCAAGGCAGGCTAGGAATCTATGACTCTGACCTCCAGCCATCAGAAAAGCCTTGGAAATAAGTATTTCTTCTGGAGTGTATTAGTAAGAAAAAGAAGGCAGCTGTGGGTTTGAATCTCAGCTCTACCATTTAATACATGGCTGACTTTGGGCAAGTCACTTCCCTTCTCCAGCCCTCAGTTTCCTCATCTGTAAAATAAGGAGATTTGACCTCTAATATCTCTTCCAACTCTAGATCTATGATCCTATCAGTGTGATTCTGATGAAAGGAAGCAGACAGTGCCCATTATTCAACAGGTCTGCAGGAAGGATCCTACAAAATACATCTGCTTCTTTTTAAGCACTTAGAAATAACTACAAACTACAACTGATTTTTTAAAAAGTTGCTAAATCAGGCTGTCATCTTGTGAAACCAGAACCCAAACTAATCTCTAAGCAGTCCCAAAACAATCTAATGCCAAAAGGGTGGTAAGAAGTAGGAGGGGAATAAAAAAATATACAAAGAGGAATTTAAAAAAAAAAAAACTCAGTTAAGGATTTTCACAGCACGTTCAGTATCTGGGAATCTGAACCTTCCCATTATTCTCTGCAACTGTGGGAAACCAGCCTCCATGTCCACCACTTCTCCAGGCCTGTCCCCCAGAGCAGTAAGACTGCATCCCTTGACCTGTGAAATTTGCTCTCCCTCCAGTACTTAGGGAGAGCAAGAGGACTTGTTCCAGCAGGCTGGCCTAGGACCAATCCTTCTAAGAAAAGTCCATCTAGAGCTGAACCCAACCCAGATTTGCTCATCTTCATCTCTTCTGTGCTCAAAGCCCAGCACCAGAACCAAAGAATCTGGAAAGAATGGAATCCTTCAAATGAGACTGAGATGTGACTTTCAGAAACCCATATTCTGAAGTCTTCACAATCCAATTATTATAGAATGCCAGCTTCTGTCTTGCCTTGCTCCATATACCATGAAAAGAAAAGAAAAGAAAACTTGGGTGGCCTTTTGGTGCTCCCTATATAGGAATCCTTTTTTAAATTAGAAATAACTGAGGCAGCAACTGGTTTGTGCAAGGAATGACTAGGAGCCTGGAAGACCTAAATTCAAATCCTGCATTAGACACTTATTGGTTCTATGAGCCTGGGCAGGTCACTTAACCTTCCTCAGCCTCAATTTCCCAATCTGTAAAATGGGGATGATAATAGCATCTATCGCCTAGGGTTGTTGGGCAGCTGGGTGGTACAGTGGATAGAGCACCAGGTGTGGGGTCAGGAAGACTCATCTTCCTGAGTTTAAATTTGGCTTCAGACACTAGCTATGTGACCCTGGGCAAGTCACTTAACCCTGTTTGCTTCAGTTGCCTCATCTGTAAAATGAGCTGGAGAAGGAAGTGACAAGCTACTCCAATATCTTTGCCAAGAAAACTCCAAGTAGGGTCATGAAGAATTGGACACCACTAAAACTACTGAACAATAATACCTCGTGTTGTTGTGATAACATGATATGATATTTGTAAAGTGCTTTGCAAATATTAAAGTACCAACCTTAAATTAAATTAAATATTAAATAACCAACAGACATTTATTAAGCACCTCCTATGTGCTTAAGCTCAAAAGTGCTCCTAAGCACTGGGTTAGATGCTAGTTCTGTCACCCCCAGCAGGGATGGGGAACCTGCACCTAAAGGCCACTGTGGCCTTCTTGGTCCTTGGGTGTGGCCTTTTGATTAAGTCCAAGTTTTACAGAACAAATTCTTTTTTTAAAGGGATTTGTTCTGTGAAGTTTGGATTCACAGTTTGGGCTGAACTTGGGGACCTAGAGGGCCATGGGTGGCCTCAAGGCCACAGGTTGCCCACCCCTGCTCCAAAGGCTTCTACCCAAGCCAAGGGAAGATATGGAGACATATAGATATATCCAAGATAGATACAAGGAGTATTTAGGAAGTCAAGCACAAACAGCTGGGGGAAGGGTGGTACAGGGGAGGGGAGACATCACGGTGTTATGGGAGGAAAGCATGATCAGCACCCAGGAATCTGAACTGTCCAGTCATTCTCCTCACTCTTGACCAGCTGCAGCAGATCAGGAAGGATCTCCTGCTGAATCCAATTATATTTGATTCTAGAGGTAATAGGGAGCCATTGGAGTTTATTGAGGAGAGGAGTGACAAGATCAGACTTGGGCTTTAGGAAAATCATTTTGGCAGTTACATAGAGGATGGATTGGAGTGGGTTCAGACCAGTTAGCAGGCTGTTGCAGTGGGCCAGGTACGAGGTGATAAGGGCCTGAATGGAGAGCAGGGAATGTATGTGAAATATGCTATGGGGGTAGAAACAAGAAAAAGATTGATATTAAATTTGGACATGTGATCTCATCTGTCAAGTTCAAGACAACCTCAATCAGAAAGCTTATTGACTGGGTTTAGAGAGAATTTCATTTGGATTGGGATGTTGTTCAATCACAAAACCATCTTAGGAAGTCATGACCTGATCTGACAGTCAAAGGCTCCTTCTGTAAATTAAAACCAAGGAACTTATGAGTACATATATGGAGGCAGTCAGTCAATAAACATTGATTAAGCATCTACTATGTGCCAGCCACTGTGCTAAGCACTGGAGGAAAGATGAGAAAGGAAAAAATCAATGAGGTAAATGCCAAACTAGGTCTCCTTGCCATAATTATCTTCTAAGGACTAAGTAAGACCCAGAGGGTCTTCCCTTACCGCATGAGAAAAATGCCAACATGGAACCAAGTAAAAACATTCTGTAGTAGAAAAAACACTGGTTTTGAATCAGAAGACCTGGGTTGGAATTCTTACAATGTGACCTTAGGCAAGTAATTTTACCTCTCTGGGCCTCAGTTTCCTCATCAGTAAAATGTCAGGGTTTGACATGATAAACTGTAAGGTTTCTTTCAGCTCAAAATCCTATGTTCCTATGAACTTGTGGATCTCTGGCAAAACAGGACTCATTACTCTCAGATCAACTATTTGGTCCTATGAGCTCTTAATAGGGCTTTAGATGAGAACTATTCCCTGACGTGAGTAAAAGTGATTTAATAAGGGCAGGTAGGTGGTGCAGTGGATAGAACACCAGGCCTGCAGTCAGGAAGATTCATCTTCATGAGTTCAAATCTGGCCTCAGACACTTAGTAGCTGTGTGATCCTGGGGATTTCAAAGGCCAAGGACCCAATCCTGGTCCTTCTCTGAAGAACTGTTTAAAAAAGGAACTTTAAAAAAATATTCTGATAGTTATTTTTTTCTTTCCTTTATAATCTTTTGTGTTTCATTTTATCCATTTAAAATTATACTGAGAAGGGATCCATAGACTTCACCAGACTGCCCAAGGGATCCAGGACACAAAAAGGTTAAGAATCCTGATCGACAGGGACTTGCTAACCTTGTCTTCAGCTGCTGTGTGTATGTAGCCCTTAGCCTCTTGTCTATCAGGGATGAAAGGTAAAAGTACCATTTAAGGAACAGGAATTTTCAATGTATTGAGTTTGACCTGCCTAAGGAAAACATCAGAGCTGTCAGATTACAGGAACTGGGGTCTGGCTTCTTGTCTCTCCTTGATTTTTGTCCAGAGGCCCAGAGGCTACTTTTGTTAGGATGGACACAAATTAAGAAATTCAACAATACATACAACAATGGAATCCAAACAAAACTCACCCTTTTCCACCCCCACCAACTGGAAACACAGAAGGAAAAATAGCTAGGACTCAAAGAAAGTTGTGTTTATTATTTAAAAACTGTTTACTTTATAGATGCCCACATGAAGTTTTTAAGATGCCTCCTTTCACTGATGCATGCAGCTACCTCCTCTTTCAAAGACCATTTTTGTTCCTCATACCAAGTCTTGCTGAAGGCCTGGTAGACCTGCATTCCCTGACATGAGTAAAACTGATCCACCTTACCAAAGGTACATGATAAGCACTTAAGGGCAGCTAGGTGTCTCAGTGGAGAAAGCACCAGACCTAGAGTCAGGAAGACTCATCTTCTTGAGTTCAAATCTGGCCTTAGATACTTACTAGCTGTGTGACCCTGGGCAAGTCACTCAACCTTGTTTACCTCAGTTTCCTCATCTATAAAATGAGCTAGAGAAGGAAATGGCAAACCACTCCAGTATCTTTGCCAAGAAAACCCCAAATGTGGTCCTGAAGAGTCAGACACAACTGAAAACAATGGAACAACAACAAAAAAGCATTTAATAAATGCTTATTGGCTAAGTAACTGACTGAGTGACCTGCAACATACCTTGACTGAGAATTACAAAAAGAGCCACATCAGTTTACGAAAGTACAGACAGGATTTCATTAAAATATTATTAACTGCTGCGTAGTTATCCATAATAAAGAATAATCTTCTTTATAGCAAGTAAATGTGATTAAAATTAAGAAAGCTACCGAGTTCCTAACAATAACTAAGTCTTTTATGTAACAAACATTTTAGTATGCATTTTGAAATTTTTTCTGACAAAAAATTGACCCAAAACTATATATTTATTAAGAACTTTTTCCCCCTTCAGAAGGTAACCTCATGTTTATGTTTTTCTCATATTTTCCTCTGAACTGTTGAGACTTAAATGGTTTAATTAATAAGCAAACTAATCAGACCAAGCATGAGAGATTTTTAGTTTCTTGAACATTAATGTTGAGCAATGAAATCTGCAGTCACTAATCCATTTCTGTGCCATATTAAAAATGCTATTAATTATCCTAGACTGGTATAAAATGCTGCCAACTCAGCCATACTCAACCTTCCCTGCCCTGCAAGCCCAGGAAGAGAAGTACCCTGATCAGTCAAATACTTGTTGATCAAATGATTGATTTGCACTGGTTTTTCCCATTGGAATGCCCTCCTCCCTTGCCCCTCTGACATTTCCCTCTCTGCTCAAGCCTCCAACCACAGCTTCACCTCCAGCAATTATTACAACAGGTTATTTTGCCTCATACTGAAGCTATCCTATGCAAATTCCCTCAATTTCCCTCTTCCATCCCTCAAAACTTCTAAGCATTGCTAGGGGATTCAGAGGAGCAAAAGGATCAAATCATGTCTCTTGGATATCCTTGCATCTCACTAAGCCTAACCCTTTCACCTGTGCCCTGGACCCCACTGTTTTCCAGTTTTTCTGAGTCCTTGCACCAGCAATCATCCCCTCTTTTTCATGAATCTTCAGTCTCTTTCCTATCCAAAAACTCCTTCCCATCTGCCTACAAACAAGCTTTGGTCTACTCAATAAAGGGAGGAAAAAGCCTTCTCTTGACCTTTCTATCCTATCTAACTACCACCTCTACTCTCTACCAGGGGTGGGGAACCTGCAGCCTCAAGGCCATGGGCTACTTGAGGCCCTCTAGTCCTCAAGTGCAGCCCTTTAACTAAATCCAAACTTCACAGAACAAATCCCCTTAATAAAAGGATATTCTGTCCTCTTTCCCTGCCACACTTCTTGACAGATAAAAATACCTGATGCTTCTGCTTTCTTCTCTATCTACTCTCTTCTCAATCCCCTCTTACAACCAGGCTTCTAGCCCCACAATCCTTTGGAGCTATTTAATAAAAGATGACCAATGGTGACAGCTGCCGTGGATTCTCCCACCCCCCACCACCACTCTCGTTGATCCGGGTGTGTCTGTTTTCCTGGGTCCTCATTCTCTCCCTGACCCTTAAGGTGGGTGTTCCCTCAGATTCTGCCATTGGTCCTCTGATCTCTCTCTTTTGGCGATTTCATTTACCCTCATGGTGATTGTCTGTCCAGACCATTATTTCAGGAAAAGTCCCAGAGATGCTTCACCTCACTCTCCATCTCTTATCTCTATAACCTCACAGCACCTGCTCAATACCCTTCCTTCTTTCCCTCCTCCCTTCCTCTTCCTCCCTCCCCCTGCCACCCCCCACCCTGTTCTAGAAACATAAGCTAATTTCAAATCAACTCTGCCATCGTTCCTGGATGGAATGTGTCAATCTACTCCCCTACTGCTCCCTCACCAACCCTGTAACTCTCCAGACCAAAGAGCCTATCCTTGGCCACCACTTCCCCTTTGTGGGTTATCTCCCCCATTAGAATGTAATTTCCTTAAAAGCAGAGATCTTTACTATTTTTGTATATTTGTATGTCTAGAACTTAGCACACTGTCTGGCACGTATTATAAAGGCTTAATAAATGCTTTTTTCATTCATTCCTGACTTCGGTCTCTATACAGGCGATACCCAAATCTGTCTCCGGCCCCGAGCAGCACACCTGCATCTTCAGCTACCTACAGTTTGTTTCCGCAACACTTCAGACTCAAAGCTGAGCTCATCTTTCTCCCTAGACCTGCCTCTCCCACTGACTGTGAAGCAGAGAAACACCACGGTCTCCAGGGTTAAAAACCTCAGTGTGATTTTACTCTTCCCCCTCTCTCCCTGAGTCACCAAGTCTTATGGATACTTCCTCTGCAACATCTCTCACTTCTGTTCCCTTCTCTCAGCTGCCACTGACACAGTCCTAATTACCACCTACTTGGACTATGGTAATCGCCTCCTGATTGGTCTCAGTTCTCCTTGCCAACCTCTCCTCCATCCTTTATGCTTCTGCCATAGTAATCTTTCTTATGCAGGGATCTGGTGATGCCATTAATGGGAGAGGGAGACAGTACAGAGTAGTGGGAGCACATGGGATCTGGACTCAGAGGACCAATGGAAAATTGAAGGGGAGCATGGTGCAGTAGTGACTCGAACACTGGACCTGCAGTTCGGTATGTCTGGATCCAAATCCTGCCTCAGACGCAAACAAGCTGTGTGACGCTCAGCAGAGCACTTACCCTCTCACCAGTGACCTTCCTTCCCACCCTAGAGATGCCTCTACCCCGGTGGAACGATAGGTCCCTGGCCCAGAGCACCATTTCATGAGGTGCCCGGGCTACAGTCACTTGACTCCCGATTCTGCTCCTCACTCTACTTCTCCATATTCTTTTAGCTCCCCTTTTTATGTAAGTTACTTGAGAGTTGCTTTATCCTCAGCAATTATTACAGTGCCTGACACATAGTAAGCAGTTAATAAATAATAATAATAACTTTTAGAAACTTCTTACTGTGGACTGCTAAATGCTTTACAATTATTTCACTTGATCCTCACAACCTTAGGAGATAGGTGTTATTATTATCTCCCATTTTACAGATGAGGAACCTGAGGCAAACAGGCTAAGTCAGTTGCCCAAGGACATACTAGCTAGTAACTGCTGAGGCCGAATCTGAACTCAGACTTCCTAACTTCAGGCCTGGCACTCTTACTATCATACCTACCTGTTCCTTAAATGCTCTGCCTAATATATCATTCTACCTAGCTCCCTTTCCGTCTACCCTCTCTAGCCTTCGGTGTCCTCATGTGTAAAATGAAGAAGTTGTACTCAATGATCTTGAAGATCCCTTCCATTCACAATCTATAATTCTATGAATCCCAGCTCTACAGCTTACTACCTATATTACCCCAGACAAGTCACCTCTCTGGGCCTCAGTTTCTTATTTGTAAAATGAAGGGGTTGGACTATATGATCTATAAGACACCTGTTAGCTTGAAGCCTCATGAACTGCTACCGGTCACTCCTGACGACTTCCACGAGTATCTGCTGCACATCAGAACTGTGCTGATTGGGTGCAGCTAGGTAGCCCAGTGGATAGAGCACCGGCCCTGGAGTGAGGAGGACCTGAGTTTAAATCTGACCTCAGACACTTGATACTTACTAGCTGTGTGACCCGGGGCAAGTCACTTAACCGCCATTGACTCGCCAAAAACAAACAACTGCACTGGTAAAGGTGGTCACCTTTCTTCCCATTGGCTGCCTCATTATCACATCTAACAACCCAGCATCTCTGGGGCAGGACTCCTAACAGATCACAATGCTGACTGACCTGGTGTGATTGACACTTACCTCTTGCACCCCTAAAAAGGACTTTATAGTGCTTTTCCAACCGCTTGGTCATATAGTTAGCATTTAGTATCGCAATCTCTGTGGCATGCTTGAGACCCCTGCCTCCCATCATCTGCAACAGAAGGAAAATGGGCACAGAACGTCAAACGTGTCAGCTTTCTCCAACTGGCCAATAAATCAAAAGTACCCACATGTGTTCTTCCCCTACCTCCCACTCCACAAGCAGAACCATCCTGATTCAGGCCGTACTCTAGCAGACTACTAGCTAGCATTGACAGAGTGCTTGAAGGTTTGTGCAGTGCATTACAAATATTATCTTACAGATATAGGAGTTTTAGGGATAGAGTCACAAACAGTTACAGAAAGTTATATAGAGTCATAGAGATAGAGACAGGAGTTCTCATTATTGTATTACCTTCAAGAGATTTGTTCATAAGTAGGGGAGGCTTATTATGATCAGATTGAATCTTTGAGGTGCAGGAATGGCTTGGGTGCTCACCTAGGCCAACTTTGCAGGGTACCAAAGTCACCATTCTTTAAAATGAACTCTCCTGGTACATGAACAAAATCCTACAGTATTATAAAAATTCCTTCATGCAACATTTCCTTAAGAAAATCCATTGAATCTGGATTTTCATGAACCTGTTTTATTGTCCTTCCACATTATTTAACAGTACAGTACTCCGCATAGAGATGTTTAATAAATACTGCTGACTGATGGATAAGCATTTCTAGATCAGCCAGGGTACAGGATCACCTGTGCTCAATTAATAATTACCAGCCAGTACCTTCCAATACTAAAAACAATTTAAAAATTTTAACTGCTGAGTTTGTAGAAAAGTTTTAGTTTTCCATACACAACAAATTTAACAAAAGTTAAATTTGATATGGGGGGAAAGAGGGAGGGAAGGAAAGAAGGAAGGAAGGGAGAGAGGGAAGAAGAAAGGAAGGCAGGGGGAAAAGGAAGATGGAAAGAAGGAAGAGCAGAGGGAAGAAAGGAAGGAAGGAAGGAAAGAAGGAATGAAAGGAGAAGAAGTAAGATAGGGAGGGAGAGAGGAAGAGAGGAAGGGAAGGAATGAGGGAGGAAGGAAACAAGCATTAAACGTCTACCAAGTACCAGGTACTGTTAAATGCTTTACAAGTATTATTTGATCCTCACAATAACTGTAGGAAATAGGTGCTATTATTATCCTCATTTTAGAGTTGAGGAAACTGAGGCAGAGAGCAGTTAAGTCACTTGCCCAGGATTACCCAACTAATAATTATCTGACATCATATTTGAACTTGGTTCTTCCTCACCTCAGTAGATAGAGCACTGGGTCGCACTGCTGCCTCCAAAAATGAATGGACCTGTGATTTCACTGGTATACAGAATTCCCGGATGAAGCAGCTCTCTCCATCAATTCAGGCTGGCACCTTCCCTCAGAGTCTTAAGAGAGTTTCCTATAGCACTGAATGGCTGTTACTTGCCAAAGTCATACACCCACTATGAATAAGAGGTGAGACTAAAACCTAAGTCTTCCTTCTTTGGCAGCCAGCTCAATATCCACCTCACCACACTGCCTGTCCTATATATTCTCCTCTCAAAATACTATTAAGATAACG